ACATAAACTCTCTGCTTGCCACAATCCCCACCACTCCCTAATGTCTCTCACACACAACTCTTTCATTCATTGACCTGCCGGTCCCCACAGGCATCTGAGCTTGTGCATCCTGACATGGCACGGTTCTTGAACTAAAGGACCTGAGGGTGAGAGCCATCTCTCAGGCCCTCACCTGCTATGGGAGGAAACCAGCTAAGGTCCTGGCAGGCTGAGGACTTGCTGATTCTAGAGATTTGAATGGGGGCAGGAGGATCGTGTTGGCTGTGGCATCCACCCCAGTCACAGCCCGGAGCAATGCTGCAGCCTCCTCCGAGTGGGTGGGGTGGGCTTATCTCGGTGGATTCCTAGTTGCATTTCCTTCCCACATTTCCCACATTAGTTCTTCATTTTGTTTTCTCAATTAGTAAGAGCTATCTTATCTTGAATGTTTAAAAATTATGTAGTGGCTCTAGGTGCTTTTTGGAACAAAATGACAGGGTTGAAAAGGAACAGAAGGAAGAAGAGAGGGGGAGCAAAGGACCTTGAGGCTGGCCCCTGATTTCCAGCAGGCCCTCAGCACCCAGCGCCACTGAGGAGCTGGGCTGCGTGTCTCTCGCAGGGGCTGCCAACGCGACGTGCCCAGGTGTCCTTGGCATGGCGCTGAATGCCACTGAGCGCAGCGCCGGAGGCCACCCCCTCCAGTTCCAGCCACATTCCCGTCCTGATGGACGAGGAAGTCTGGTCAGATGCTAGCCTGTCCTCAGCACCCTGCTCTACCCGGCAGTCTCCTTTCAACACTGGAAGAGTGATCTCAGTTCACAAGCTTGGCAGGCGGGAGTGTGTAGCCAAAATTCAATGACGCTGGTAAGCTTCCTGGTAACGACCCAGGACAGTGGAAGGTGGTCTTTCACCTACGGGGACACTGCCAAGCTTCGAACATCTAGGCCAGTTAAATGAGAAGGTGAGCTGATGTACTAAGGCTCAGTCTGCAGCAGAGGCAGTTTCTGGACACCCGCGTGGTGCGCATGTGCCCAGCAGGCCCACGGAAGGGCTGTCCCGCTCCCTTCCCCACGACGGCACAGAGTCAGTTTAGCATCTGGAAAGTGGATAATCACGCGGCAAGGTCATCTCAACCTTTTTCCCCATCAGTTAAAACGGGCCTGGAAGGGGTCAGGTTACTAGTCTGAGGACTACGTGGAAGAAGAGGTGTCCAGAAGGTCGGACTGGCTCACAATGAATTGTATAAACGCAGTTTCTGCACCCGGCGTGGGCGCGGCCGCGGACCTTCCGTGCAGGATACGTTCACGCTCGATGGCGCGTGCCCTGCCAAGCACAGAGAAATGCCCTTCTGTTGTGAATTATGGAGAAAAGAAATAAAAATGAAAGCTGAAGAGGATTTCTGAGCTCCAGAAGCAGTGGCGTGCACGGGGCCAGGGCGCGGGCACACGTGTCTGCATTTTAAACTCGGTGCCCGGCGGGGGTCGGGCCATCCGGGCAGAGAGTGCGAGTCTTGCCCGGGGCTGGGGACAGGCAGGAAAAGGCACAGTCCCTGCCCCGACGACCCTCTGCCGAAGACAGGTGGTGCCCCCACTGCTCCCAACTGCCCTGCGCTTTCTCTCCTCCACCCGTGGGGAACCCGCGAGTCCCAGGCGGCGGATGGGGGCAAATCACACGCCCGTCCACACGCAAGGGCCCAGGCAGCCGGACACCGCCGCGGTCCCGGGCCCACAGCAGAGAGCCTGGCGCGCAGCCCCCGGCCTCAGGGGCTGCCTTCCTTCCGGGGCCGGGGACATCCCATGAAGAAGTGAGCGCGGGAGAGCAAACTGGCGCAGCCTTTCTGGCAAGTGCTCTGGAGGAACCTTAAAAACACTACTATGGCACTAAAGTGGGGCCTCGCCGCCCACGCCGGGCATCTGTCCGAGACGATGAGACCATCACTTCGGAAGAGTCTACGCCCCGCAGTGTTCGCCGCAGCGCTCATTTCAGGAGCTCGGAAACAGCCCAGTGGCCACCGAGAGAAGGTGGGACCGAGAAGACCAGGGAGAGAAGGCGGGAGCCGTGGAAGCGGCTCCGCGGCCAGGAGAGGAAATGCCGGGGTTTACAGCAGAGGCCGGCGCTCAAGGCTTGCAGCGGGCGAGGGTTCCGAGGGGAGGGGGCGCGAGGGTGGGTGGGGCAGGCGAGCAGCCGAGGCGCACCTCCCGGCCTGGACAGGCTGGCCCCCGTGACCAGCACAGGGCGACGTGTCCCGAGAAGGCCGGGAGCTGGATGAGCGTATGGTCCGGGCCACCTCTCGTGAGCGGACAGGCTGCAGGCCTCCTCCCAGAGGCCCAGGCACCGACCAGCCGCCGACGCCGCCGAGGGCCCTGCACGCCGGCATTCATTCAATCAATTCATTCATTCAGCAGCACTGAGTGAGCGTCCACTGGACGCCAACACAGGCCTCTGAGGGCTGGAACGGGACAGTGAAAACGCAGACCAGCCTCCCATCCTCATGGGCACCTCCTTCCTCCATGTGCGTGGACGTGCACCTGTGTGTGGGTGCACACGTGGTGTGTGTGAAGGAAGCGTAGGAAATAAATGAGGTAAGGGCTGCGTGCCGTGTGTTAAGGGGTAAAAGGGCCTATCACGTAAGGCAAGGCCGTGGCTAGCGGGTCAGGGCTGCAGGGGAGCAGTCATTTCACCTCAGAGGGACGCCTCAGTGGGAGGGGAGACTTGCTGCGGGTCGTGGGAGTGAAGCGGGTGCAAGTCTCGCAGCTGCCCGGGGGAGTCATCCAGAGAAAACATGGAGTGTAAAAACAAGGGGGTACAGTGTGCTGTGTCAGGGATCAGAAGAACAGGGATGAGAGAAGTGGGGGGCAGCCACCGACTCAAAGTCTTGAGGAACAAGGGTGCAGTTTCCAGAGGACTGAAGCTCTGTGCGGGGAAATACTTCCCATTGAAACGTATGACACTCGGAGGCAGTTCCTGCGACTCTGGGATATGGACCTGTGCTAGAACTGCTTGACCGCTGTGCACCCACTGGCCTGGTCCACTGGCCTCCCAGCTGTCGCAGCAAACTCACGCCCACCAGCTGCTCACGGTGGACGGACGATCACCTATACGCCAGATTCCCGCAGAGCTAAGTACAATGATGGGCATCTTGCTCACAAATGATCATTTCTAGAGGGCGCGCGTCCACCGGGCCTCATCTGATTAGGCCCTCGGAGAGCAGTGAGGGAGGAGGGGAGCGTGGCCCCATTTTACAGATGAGGAAACTGAGGCAAGACGAATCGCAGGTGCTACTGAGTAGTGAGCATGGCTGGAGCAGACTGCACCAAGGGCAGGGGGAGGCGGGTAGGGGCCTGGAGGGGGCGGGCATTGGAGAGACATTTACTCCATCAGAGTGGTGGGCCCTGACTGGCACTTTGGTAAGATCGGCCCAATGCAGGTGGTTTGAGCCCCCTCCCCAGGTCATAGGTCAAAACCCTAATTGCAATGCGCTGGTATTGGAGACCGGGCATTTGGGTGATTTCAGGTTGTGAGGGTGCTGGCGTCGTGATAGGCTTAGTGCCCCCTTGAGAAGAGACCAGAGAACATTCTCTCTGCTCCCTCACGTGAAGGCAAAGCAAGAGGATGCCCTCCCTCCACCAGAAAGAAGGTCCTCACCTGACCCCCCACCTTGCAGGCACCCTGACCTCGGACTTCCTGGCCTCCAGAACTGTGAGACATGAAGGCCTCCTGTTGACCCACCCAATGGAGGACAGTTTGTGCAGGAAGCCGCAGCAGACTGGGACCGTGTGCATACGTGTGCATACGTGTGCTGCTGGGGAGGCTGGAGCAGCAGTGCCAAAGATGATTATTTTTATGGAAATGAGGCTGTTGAGTAACTGCTGATTACTTGTGAAGGGCCTCTGTCTTTCTCCAAGGTTGATGGGGGAGTGGGGGGTCTTCCAGGCTGGCCTGCCCCCACCCCCTTCCTGCCGCTGCCCCACGGCTGCAGCGAGAGCAGCCCCGCCTGAAACACAGCATGCAGTTTCCTTGCATCAAAGGTAGAAAGTCTCAAGACAAACCAGGCCCTAGTAAGAGGTTCTGTGCTGACGTAGCACGGCACACAGAGATCTCTGTCTCTGTTCTGTCCATCGCCTCTCAGGGAAGGTTCTGGAAACATACTGTGCTCTGAGAACTGTTTAAAACTGATTGCAAGTATCTGCTCTCATCCTACCCCTCCGCATATTCATTTCCACCGTTACTTCCCCAGCAAATTTCAAACAAAACATGTTAACAGCCGGCCTAGTAAACAATCAAGCAGGTGGATAGGAAGGGATTTGAAACAGTCTGAAGACAGCAAGAACAACCTAGCCTCTGCCACTTCGTCAGGGAAAAATCCAGTACAGAAAGCTCAGGACTCCCCTCCCCGAGGTCAGCACGTGCGCTGGCCGCTGCTGGAGGCCCGAGAGTCAGCCTGCGCCGCAGCCAGAGGCCAAGGCCAGGACGGGCGACAGCCTCTCAGCACCAGCGAGGTCCATAACCAGGGGCCATCACCTGTGAGACCATGGGGTGCCTGTTAGGTGCTCCCCCTCTTACTGCTTAAAGCACCTGCCTTTTATTCCATTTTGCAAATAAAGAAACAGACGGTGAGGCGTCAGCTCGCCCTTTAGGCCACCGCCAGCCTGCAGCTCGCCGCAAACACCACGGCTGGGGCTCAAACCTCAGAGACAGTGTTTTCTCTCCCAGTCTTTGCTGGAGACTGAGCGTTGAGGTCATGGTCAGGGCCCGAAATCGACCTTGAAATCATCTCCCTAGGCAGCCATCAAGACACAAGGGTTATGCCCTTCCACTGCATAAGGCCCCTAGTTTGCTGCTTCTTCCTCTGCACCCCTTTCAAGATTTCATCAGAAACCATTCTCGGCAGAACAGTGCAGAGTCTCTGAACCCAGACGACGCCCCTCCTTTCTCTTTCTCTCCTGTATTTACGTTTGGCTCCCTCTGCACATTTAGGGGAGCTGCCCCCAAGCCCCCCACGCCCCTTGGGCCACACTCACCACAGATTGACCAGGAAGGGGTGCTCCAGCCCCTGCATGATCTGCAGCTCCCGGAAGACGTTCCGCACCTCATCTCTCTCGATGCACTTCTGCTTGTTCATGTACTTCATGGCGTACATGGTCTTCGTGTCTCGCTTCTGCACGATGCACACCTGGACAAAGGAAAGGAGTGCGTCAGGCCGGCGTTCAAAGAAAAGGCAGCACCTGCTGCACCTCTAGCCAGTGTCCGGCTCTGAGGCGCGCTAGTGCACAGGTGGGGCTGAGCCTCGGGCTGCCCATGCTGGGGGAAGCGTCAGGCCAGGCTCATCTGCTCACACAGGTTTGCGCTGAGGACTGGCCACGTACTGACCACTGGCAAAGACACGGCAGGGGGGGAGACAGAAGCAGCAGCCCTGCCCTCAGGAGACCCCAGCACGGAGGAAAAGCGCCCTTCACACAGACATCCACAGCCCGGCCATCCGGGTGTTTGTGCACGCCATAGTCCCCCACGCCCCGCTGCACGCCCGCCTGAGAGCGCAGACTCAAGGCCAGACAGTGAAGGCAGGAGCCACGCTGGGCGTGTGCCAGGCATCCGTCCCTCGGGCCCTGCTCCTCCGGGGGGAGGCTTCTCCCAGAATGAAGAATAAACAAACTCGGGCTGGGGAGAAGGGTGTTCTCTGACAGCGGGGTCGAGGGGAGCTTGGAGGAAGGTTTAAGGGGTGATGGTGTCCTTTCTAAACACATTCGTGCGGCGCCGAGCCACACTGACCCCCTCTGCGGTCCCAGGGGAGATGGCAAAGGGGGCTCGGGGGGAGCAGCCCAGGTCCAGCCCTGTGCTCCTGACTTAGGGCTGAGGTGGATCCCTGGGGTGAGGCTAGGTTGGCCCAGCTACGGATGTGAAACGGCCCAGGGGCGCGCACCCCCCCCCCCATGAAACTTATGAAGGGAGTAAGTTGGGGTGTGAAGCGGGCAAGGAAGGCTGTCAAGTTGGCCAGTGATGCATCGTCTGCTCTGGTCGACGCCTGAAAGCCCTTTGCTGGGAGCCCGCGTTCCTGTGGCGGTCAGCTCTAAACACAGCGAACCACGGGAGCCGGCAAACGCCCCCGATGTATGTCCCCAAACAAACACACCTGATTGATAGGAAATGAATAAATATTTCATTAAAAACAAATGGAGTCCACTTCTATTGCTGGGCAAGACGAAAATGTCCAGCCATTTTGTAGGGCAGTTTAGCAGTTACTTGGAAAGCGAATCAAACATTTGCCAGATCGTCCGACCTATGAGTAAAGCTCACAGGTATCAGCCTAAGGGACAGGAAATTCATGTCCATGCAAAGGGCGTGAATGTGTACAGCATCTTTCCGTAGCAGCCCTGAACTAGAAACAACACAAATATCCACCGCAAGATGGATGGGCAACAAGTTATGGTGACTCCAGACAATGGAAGACTGCTCGGAAGTGAGAGGGAGCTGCTAGAACATGCAGCAACACTCCTGAATCGGAAATAACTTTATTGCATAAAATGTCATACAAATGCAAAAAGAAAGAAAGAAAGAAAGAAAGAAAGAAATGGAGTCCATACTTGGAAGGGTATCGGCTTCCTGTCCAAGTATCATATTCAAGGATTTCGGAAATGATTCTTACAGAAGAGTAGCAGCGGACGTTTCGGACTGAGGGAGTCGGGCACCTTGCCTGGAGTCATCTCAGTGGATACAGAACTCCAGCTCTGGCCACGAGGTGCTGGAACTGATGCTCCTGCTCTATGGATGAGTGAAGCCCAGCAACCCCCTGGAGAGCAGGCACGTAAGTACCCCGAGTCCACGCCTGCGGCAGGTGCGGCCCTGGGGGGGCGTCTTACACACCTGCTGCAGCTCCCCACTAACTGTCCCTGCCCCAGGGCCTCTGCATCTGCCGCCTCTCTGGTCTAAGATGCTCGTCCCCCCACATCTTCCCGTGGTCTGCTTCCCTCTTAGCTGTCAGGTCTTAGCTTAATGGTCTCTTCCTGAAAGAGTCTCCCTGTGACCCTTCCCTCCGAGGAAAGCTGCGCGGCTCTCCCAGGTCGTGACACCGCACGTTTCCCACAGAGCCACTATCAGCATTAAGATCATCGTGTTTGTTTGCTGTTGGTCTGCTTGTCTCTCTTGTCAGTTCTGTGGCGTCGGGGGCCTTGTCCAGCTTCCCGGCCACACCATCACAGGTGCCCACAGTCATGCCAGACAGAGAAGACGCCACAACATTGACTGTCCGCCTTCAAGTGCTGCTGTCCTTCCGCGCGGCTCCCGCGCTCCCGAGGCCCCGCAACTTAAAAGATCAAACAGATTCCAGACAAGTCCAAATTCTTAAGGGAAAAATAAACCCTGGTGAGTCAAATGTTTCTGAACACTCAAGCTTATAAACACACACACACACACACACTCTCTCTCTCTCTCTCTTAAAAGCTAATCCCCCACTTAATTCCAAAATGGATTTGTTGCAGTCTGGGTGCTAAATTAGTGAGTCTGCTATTAATCAAATACTTTTTTCACACTATGGATTCACATGCAGATGTGAAAGTCTGGAATGTGAATGAGACGACTAATAATACGCTTGGTATGGAAATCATCATCGTTGCATAATAAGCCAGTGTGGAGTCTGGAATTATCATTTGTGCAACTCTTGCTCAATTTTTATCCAGAATCTTCCTTTGAGGGACATAAAGAGCTATTATCATATAACTTTGTGCCACTTTCTGCTATTTTATGTGCAGACCGCCTCTGGCTATTCTGTGAATTTTAATTAACTCCCTGTTTATTTTGTTTCAATGCCACAGCTCTTTAAGCAGAGAGACCACTTGCCAATCCAAGAAAAACACTTTTGAGCAAACTTCTCAGAAAGTTCTCCTTTCTTTGGAAATAATTAAGCCCTGTTGACTTCAAAGTTAACACAGCGTGGAACACTTTACCCTGAACTCTCTCTGCTGGCTCAGAAGCAAAGCTCCTGCTGGCTCCAGCATCCAAGGGTCAAGAGGAGCCTCCTCCAGCGAGGGCTGGAGGGAGGAGGGAGGTAATAAGAGAGGCAACTGGGAAAAGAGAAATTCTCCCAGTTGAGGCCCAGCAGATTCATTTCTCCATATTCAGTGGAAACACATGATTTGGGAACCAGGGTGACCGATACGTGTCAGTTGTGGGACCTGGGGAAAGTGAGTTCTGCTACTCGGAAGCTCTAGGCAGTTTGCAAACTGGCCAACGGAGGCTCACCAGCTGCTTGGCCATCGGAGTTTTCATTTATTCATTTAAGTCATAATAGTAATTCAGTCGTATTCTACAGCACACATGTGCAATGCTCCACCTACATGCATATGGAATTATAAGGGTGCATATGTGTGCACTGCTGGGCTTCTTCACACGGGTCCCTCCTTGGCCCAAGCACAAGGTCCACACAGCTGGCACAGGCACATCACATGCCCATCTTGGGGGAGGCGTTCTCCATGGGAAGGGGATGTCATCACAATGGCAAAGGGGGCTGACATGCAGGCCAACAGTCAAAAGCGGCAGCCACTACTGCCCACCACGGTTCTCCTTGGCTTTCCATCTACAGAGGAACAGGGTGAGCCTCAGAGCAGCGGACGCACTTTCCCCAGTTCCCACAACTGCCACGTATCAGTCACCCTGGCTCCCAAGTCATAAGTGTTTCCACTGGATATGGAGAAATGAGTCCGCTGGCCTTGTCTGTCCAACAACTCAGTCATGAAAGGATTGCGGAAGATTTTTGTAAATTCTTGCTAGAATCAAAGAATCGCCTGAGGCTCTTGATTCTGGTGTTGGGCCTTGGGGAAGCATGACTTCTCCCAGCATTAAAGTCAAATGAGATTGCTGGGAGGTCACATCGCTCCTTCCCGATGACCAAGGCCATTGTCACAGTCTAACAGCAAAACGTCTTTCTCCAAGACTCTTAACAAACGCCTGACGCGGGGTCTGCCAAAGACCGAAAGCAAAGCCCAGACTCTCACTCACTGTCGGGCGTCTCCCTGAACCCCGCGCAGCCCACGTCCATCCTGCACCCAACGGCAGTGGCTCCCACTTCATCTGCCTCCATGGTGAGAGGCCACAACTACTTGGTATTTCAACCAGAACAAAGTGTCGCATGGCACTGAGGTTAGCGGCCTCCTCTGGAATACTGGGAATTGGAACATGCGCTACATGGATTTGGGGGTCAAGAAAGCACCACATCCCAAGAGTGGCCTTAAAATACAACCTCTAGAAAACTTGCATTTTTCAAAAGATTTCCTGTGGCCGTAGTTTAGATGCTTATGCTTGGATGACAAATTCCAGCAAAGCCTTTCATAGGGGAAAGAAAAACTCACTCAGCATGGACTCAGCCCCATGCTGCTGAGAGGTAACCCCTAACTACGGCATCTAGAAAGGCTTCTGGGAGAAGGTCCGTTGCAAACACACGTAGAAACAAAAAATTAAGTGGAAACCATGAGAAACTAGTGCCCACACAAGAAGGGATTTTTCCCAGGGACAGAGTTGGCCACTGGGGACGGGTGCACCCACCATCTCCCTACCAGTGATGCTCCTGGTGGGGGGGGTGTCTTGCTTCACTTGACTTTGCTGCTGGCAGTGGCAACTTAAGAATGGATTTAGCCAATAAAGTGAAAGACATAAATTATAAGGTATAAAACATTGATAAAAGAAATTAAATAAGACAATGGAAAGGCATCAGTTTCCAACATTAAACTGGAAAATTCAATATCATCAGACTGTCCCTAATGAGTCACAGATTCAATGCATTTTTGGATTGGCACTTTTTAGAAAATAGAAATCCCAATGGCATATTTTTAAAGAAATAGAAAAAATTGTTTCATTCATATAGAATCACAAAAGACTGAATAGTCAAATCAATCTTGAGCAAGGACAACAAAGCCAGCGGCATCATACATCTTGCTTCAAAATTTATTACAGTGTTATGGTCATCAAAACAGCATGGCACTGGCATGAACCCAGACAGACAGACCAACAGGACAGAGTCCAGAAATAAATACATGCATATATGATCAACTGATCTTTTTTTTTTTTAAAGATTTTTATTTATTTATTTGTTTGTTTGTTTGTTTGTTTGTTTATACAAGCACTGGGTACAGTCAGAAGCGCGGGAGGGTGAGAGAATTCACCAGAGCAGGGAGCAGAGCAGGCAGAAGGACCGAAGCACACTGCTGAGGGGAGCAGCGGGCGGCAGGAGAGGTCTGCGCGCCATGTGGGACCCTGCTCCAGTGGCCGGGGAGCAGCCGGGGATCGAACCGGCACAGCAGAGGCTGCGGGCAGCTTCGCAACCCAGTGCTCAACCGCTGCGCCACTGGGGAGGCCCTATGATCAACTGATCTTTAACAGAAGTGCCAAGAATACACAACAGGAAAAGGATAGTCCCTGCACAAATGGAGCTGGGGCAACTGAACACCCCTATGCAAAAGAATGAGACTGGACCTTTATGTCACATCATACACAAAAATAAATTCAAAACAGATTAAAAACTTAACCATTAAGACCTAAACTGCAGACCTCCTAAAAGAAAAGATAAGGGAAAGCTTTGCGATACTGGTCTTAGCAATGATTTCATGGATATGAGACTAAAACCACAGGTAACAAAAGCAACAACACACAAAAGAGATGAAATCAAACTAAAAAGCATCTGCACAGCAAAGAAACGATCCTGGAGTGGAAAGGCAACCTATGGGATAGGAGAAAATATCTGAAAAACACATGTCTAATAAAGGGTTCATCTCCAAAATACACAAGGCGTTCCTACAACTCAGTGGTATTTAGACAAAATATGAATGCCATTAAAAAAATGAGGCAAAGACTTGAACAGACTTCTCAAAGATGATGTACAAATGGCTGATAGATCGATGAAAAAAATCTCAATTTATTAATCATGAGGGAAATGCAGATCAGACCACAAGAAGATGCCATCCCACACCTGTCAGGATAGCTGTGACCGAGAAACAAAGACGAGGAATGCAGGCAGGGAGAAATGGCAGCTTTTGCGCACTGTTGGTGGAAAGGCAAAGTGGTGCAGCTGCTCCAAAAAACAGCATGGAGGTTCCTCAAAAATTAAAATTAGAACCAGCATATGATCCAGCCATCTCACTTCTGGGCTTTCATCCAAAAGAACTGAAATCAATATCTCAAAAAGATATTAGCATTCCTATTTCCTTGCAGTGCTATTCACCATAGCTTAGATGTGCTAACAAATTAAATGCCCATTGGTAGATGACTAGATAAAGAAAATATGATATATATGTGCCGTGGAATATTACCCAGTCATTAAAAAGGGAGTCTGCAAAGTATGACAACATGGATGGATCTTAAGGGAATTATGCCAAGTGAAATAATCCAGTCACAGAAAAATAAGATACTGCATGATTCCTAATTAATGGACTTGATTTTCAGTCAGGCAAATCAATAAGCTAAAAAGATCTGCTATGCAACAGTGGGCAACAACAGTATAGTGTATGCTTGCAAATTTGAGAGGCTGTTCTTTCCCGGGTAAAATGTTCAAATAAAATGTGCACGTTGCAGGGAAGAGCAGCTACTGCCCAGCTCATAGTCTGCGGATTTGTTCCACTTTGCTCATTTAGATCCTCAAGGAAGAAACTGCACTTGCACTCTTGAGATAATTACCACTGTAATTCACCTAAACCAGGGCTGCTGTGGTAATTTAATTTTTGGAATGAAATTACAGCAGATTGCGAGCAAACTCTTCGAACTTCCTTTCACATTTCCAATCTGGCAGGTCCCAATCTTTCTGTCAAACAGGAAACCGCCATGCCCAGCAACAACACAAAACAGACACACCAACACGCCCGCCAGCAGGAGGGGGGGGTCAGGTCTCATGTTTTAGCGACAAAATGTTTACTGATTCGTCGTCTTACCTTCCCAAAACTCCCTTTGCCGATGGCCCGCAGAATCTGAAAATGGTCAAAGTTGACTGCAGAGGAAAAAAGGGGAGAAAGAGACAAATCAGATGTGCCAAGTCTTGTCCTGCTTCCTAAAAACCCTTCCTGACATTCCCCCACCCATTCCACGTCATCGCGGGGCGCTCTCATGGCAAACCCACAGCCGAGTGCACGCGAAAGGACCGGCCCACCCTGCCCCAACACGCATACTGGGCAGCTCACACCCCACTCATGACACCCATATTCGCATGAGGGACAAATCTCAGACCAAGGAGAAAGGATGTCAGGAAAATCACGTTACTTGGACTGCCAAATCCTCGCACGCGCTGTTACTGCCTCCTCCGAGCAGGCCTCTCCCACCTCTAGTCCTCATCTTGAGCACCTGGGACTCTGACACACCTGGCTGAGTGACCAGGAGTTAGTCCCGCCCTCTTTATGGACGGTGCCTCCCTGCTGGTGACTCTGTGGAACCCTTGGCGCATCTGGAGGATGAAGCGGAAGACCCACACCCTTCCCGCCGCCGCCCTACCTCGCGCCTCCCGTTCATGTCCTGTCGCCAGAGGGGGCTCCCCATTCTTGCCTTCCACAGCCTCGCCTGCTCGGCACAAAGGCCCACAAGGTGCGGACACGCAGCTGACTCCAGCGGACGCCCCGTCTTCCTGCTACTTGACCACACGCCCCTTTCTGAAACACCTGCTAGGTACCCTCGCCACAGCCCACGCCACGGTGGCACTTCCCGTGTCCACCAGCGTCATCTTCCCAGCCATTAAATGTGGGAGTCCACCTAGCGGCCCCGATGAGCTTCCTCTTCTCACCGGCTGCAAGGCGCCCTCACTCCCTCACACCAGAGGCTCTCCAAGGCACCGCGGCTCGTCCTGTGGCCCACCCACGGCTCCTCTGGGAACTTCGTGCAGAGTAAGTAAAGCATCAGGCTTTTCTGCCCTCCCGCCATTAGGACTGATGCGGGAACCCTGTGGTCCTGAGCGCACGCCTGATGGCGGCACCTGGAGGAGGATGTGGGCACGTGTAGGCGGGTGCGCCTGGCTTGAGACGGGGCTTATACGGGCAGCGTCACGGGACGCTGGAGGAAGAGCAGAGCAAAGGGGGGAAGGGAGCACAGCCCACGAGAGAAGGCCGGGGAGCCCAGAAAGAGTGAAGACCTGGGGGTCTCCCCGGTGGCTCAGTGGTTGAGCGCCCCGCTGTGAAGCTGTCCGCAGCCTCTGCAGCGCCGGTTCGATTCCCGGCCGGCCAGGGAGAACCCCGCATGGCGCGCAGACCTCTCCTGCCTCGGCCGCTGCTCCCCTCAGCAGTGTCTTTGCTCCGTCTGCCTGTTCTGCTCCCCACTCTGGCTCTGGTGAATCCTCTCACCCTCCCGCGCTTCTGACCTGTACCCCAGCTCTTGTATAAATAAATAAATCTTAAAAAAAAAAAATTAAGACTTGGTGGGGGGCTGGGAGGCCTGCCAGCCCCCCTGCCTGCCGTGTACCTGGTAAATCCCAACAAAAGCCTGAAAAGCCCCCGAGGGCTCCAGGGCTCCTCCTTCACCCCATCTGCTCGGGTCACAGAGATCCTGCTCCGAGTCCCCCTGCTGCTACACTTCGACACCACCCTGGACTCAGCACGTCCAGCAGCCATCTGACTGCACAAGCGGGCAGCCTGGAGCTCACCCCGGACGCCCCTGACCCCCAACACTCCCAGCCCTTCCTCGGCCCTTCTTCCCTCTCTGTCTCGCGTCTGCCCACCTGCGGTCACCCTCGGGTCTAGCCCTCCATCACCGCTTCCTGGGACAGTGTCCTCCCTACCTCTCCCCTGACCCCCGTCCCCACCCTTGGGTGTATGCCCCACGCAGGTGGCGGGGGGAGTCCATGTGCACCCCCCTCCAAGTCCCCTCCAGCGCTTTCTGGTTAGAGAGCAAACTCCTCCCCCGAGCCTGACACCATCAGGCCCTGTCACCTCTCCTGCCTCCCCTGCCCACGCTCCCCACGCCACTGAGCTCCGGATACACGTGCTTGTTTCTGCGACGCCATCAGCCACCCCTGTGCCTTCAGTGCTCTTGACTTGGCCCAGCATTTGTGAGTGCGGTTTGCTCTCCATCCTGCATCCAGAGAAGCTGCCCTCACCCTCCAGCCCAGACTGCGCCCACGTGCCCCCCTGGCCCGGCTCCAGCAGACGCCACACGGCATCAGTTGCCAGGCTCTTGTGAACTGATCAAGGTCACTTCCCCCCTGGACTCGAAGCCCCCTGAGGTCAGAGGCCAAGTCTGTTCTCTCCGCTGTCTGCAGCACTAACACCGTCCGATTTTGCCAAACAGTCATCAGACAAAGGCATTATTGAAAGCAAATCTCCATATTCATGGTGCCGAGCACGACTCCTAGTACATAATGAATGGTCGGTAAATATTTTTGAATTAGATTGAATTACAGCACTTCCCAATAACTTGGGAAGACACGTTATTTACAAAAGATAAAGTAAATTGATTAGTTCATTGCATTATGGGGGCGAGGATGTGGGGAAATGAATAAATGCAATTAGTTCCCTGTGTATGAAACTTAGGCACTGGAGAGCAATTTTCTTGCATTGTGCTCCTGCCGAGCAGGCCGAGCGCCCGCTGCGAGCAGAGGCGGGGCTTGCAGTGAACTCCACACTCTGGGCTTGGGCCTAGACAGCTGGTTTCCTTTGAGAATAACTTTCCAAGAAGAAGAAATGCCCTATTTTTTTAAAGATTTATTTTTATTTATTTATGCATAGACTAACTGGGGTGCAGGCCAGAGGTGCGGGGGGGGTGAGAGGATTCACCAGAGACAAAGTGGGGAGCAGAACAGGCAAATCCACTGAAATGCACTGCTGAGGGGAGCAGTGGGGAGACAGGAGAGGTCTGCTGCGCCATGTGGGTAGCTCCCTAGCCGGGGATCGAACTCATGATGCAGTGGCTGGTGATAGCTTCATAGTGCTGAGACTTTAACCCCTTGCACCACCAGGGAGGTCCTGAAACGCCCTATTTTTTAACCTCTTTCCCATTTGACAAAGATCAAGGAAGAGAGAAGACAGGCCAGGCCGGCACCTGTGTGTGAGCAATGATCCCCAGGCCCAGCAACGCAGCTGGGTCCCGACAGGCTGCAGGCTGCTCCACGACCACCTCTCAGGCCGCCGGAGACATTCCTCCAACACCCCTTATTCTGGGGAACTACCACAGCAGGCCCTCAAATAGCACCTCTTCGTTCAGCATGGTTTTCTTACAAGGTTGTAAGAAAAGGAGAAATCCGGGCAGACACTGAACAAGGCAACATAGTGGAAGACCTGGCTTCGTCACTTGTCATCTCGCTGAACGCCACTTTCCAAGGACCTGCTGTCGGGGTTACGTGAGGACCACTGCCCTTGGCCGTGGACCCTCAGCTCGGCGCGTGCTCCCGTGAGGCTCTCCCACCCCCAGCGGCCGCTTTCTCCTTGGTGCTGTCTCGGAACCGTCTACAGGCATCTGCCCGGGACAGGAGAGCCCAGCCAGGAGCAGACTGCTAGGTCTCACCCAGCCCTGCCACCAACTCAGGGTACCCCCTCCTGGGCCCCACTCCTCAACCCAGGCTTCACCCCTTTTAGAGGCAGGGGCCCGGCTTTATTCCTTTTGGAGGCTACACCCGGCTCTATCTGCAAGGGCCCAGGTTTACGTGCTTAGAGGGAAGGCCCGCCTCCCCACCCTCCTTATTGAAAGCCCCCCTTTTTTTTTTGGCTTGTAACTGGGAAGGGGTATTAACCACAAAGCAAACTGGCAAATGCCAAAGGCTGTTCTCCTTTTAAAAAGCAGCATTACAATGTGAACAGACTCACTCATCTCCATCCCCTACAAAAACGTGCGCTCCCTGGGGGCATCTCGGTCACGTAGGGAGCAAGGGTCCTGCTGGACGCTGGCTGGTTAACTGCACGCGACTGATGTGAGCGACTGAGCACAGGGCCACGTGTCCAGTGAGGTGGCCTCCCCGAGACCCAGCATTGGGCCACCTCCCCAGTGGGCCTGCAGGAGGGCACCCTGAATATGGACGAGCCCACACTTGGTCCATGAACAGAAATGGCGTCCTCACCTTCTGTGTGAGGTCAAGCCTAAGGCTGGTCCCAGAAGCCAGAGGGCTGCTGGCCCCCAGCAAGAGGAGTCGCTGGAGGCTGTGGGGAGACAGAGTGGGTTTCTAGCGGGGCCACCCCGGTTTTAGTATCCCTGATTTCCTGCGTCTGTGAGAACTCCACAGCCCTGGGGAGACCAGGACAGTTGGTCATCCCTGGCTTTTAGCTCATTACCTGCACCCCCTGAAGAAGCCAGAGCTCTGTGGAGCTGCCCCCACACAGGCAGGTGGGGCACAGAGGGGTGCATGTGTACAAAGCAGTGTCTTTTCAGACCACCAGACGCTTGGAGCAAGTGGCCAGGGAACATGTGATCAGCGCACATTCAGGCAGAGACAGGTGATGTGGGGCTGGCCCAAGGCAGAGCCTGGGGCACCGTGACCTTGTCCAAAGCCACGAGAGCTCGACACCTGCCTGCAGGGACATCCCTGAACAATGAAATGTCACTCTGCGGCTGCTGGTTGCTCACCAAATTGCTGCTTGGTCACCCCACCAAGTTCACCTCTCCCTTTTCACCTGTTGGGGAGCCTTGGGTCTGGCTGGGAAGCAGGTCCCAGCCCTGCAAAGGCCACCCCCTGAGTCTCTGGGGAAGGTGGAGGGATTTGCATTTCTAAGTCCCAGGGGATGCTGATGGTCCAGGGAGCTGTCTAATTAATTTGAACAATTCTGTTCCCCACTTTCTCAGACACTTGTGTAATTGGCAATGGTCTTGTGACGGGGTCTAATCTATGAGATCTATGTAGAGGATTCATGGGGATGTTTCCAGGAAAGCATTTTTCCCTTATGAAAAGGGACAGCCACAGCTGGAGTGACTCTTCACTTCAACTCTCCCACTTCTTCCTGCTGTAAATATGGATGTGATGTCTGGTGCTGCAGCAGCCACCTTGTCACTATGAGACAACAACACAAGCAAAAGGTCAAGACA